GTGTTTACTATTATTATTATTATTATTATTATTATTATTATTATTGGAATGATGGCTGTGTGTATTCAAAATCAGTTTTCACAGTTTCATTCCATTTCAGTGTTTATTATTATTATTATTATTATTATTATTATTATTATTATTGGAATGATGGCTGTGTGTATTCAAAATAAATTTTCAGTTTAATTTTTTTTTCAGATAGTTGTAGCTCTCATTCTATTTCAGTGTTTATTATTATTATTATTGGAATGATGGCTGTGTGTATTCAAAATAGGTTTTCACAGTTTAATTATTTCTTTTTTCAGAAATAATGTGGAACGCCCTACCTGTGGACATCCGACAGGCCCCTTCACTGCTGGCATTCCGGAGAAAGGTCAAGACTTGGCTTTACGAACAAGCGTTTGGCTAAATAGTGCAATGAAATACAGTAAGATGGTACAACTGAACATAGGAGTTGGTATAAAGGATTCTGATTACGGATTCTGATTTGTTTGCTGAGGCGCACGTCTATGATAATGATTGTTTTTGACTTGATAGGTTTGTAAAATGTGCTTTTAATTGCCTTTTTGATGTTGTTGTGTTAACCTTTACTATGTAAACCGCCTTGAGTCGCCATTTCGTCTGGGAAAGGTGGTATAGAAGTAAAGCAAATAAATAAATGGTTCTAGCTTTCATTCTACTTCAGTGTTTATAGTCTTTAGGTTTTAAATGGCATATGGTGTTGATTTTAGCACTTTTTGACACTTTGAGTGTCTTTCAGAGAGAACAAGCAGCATATAAATCAGGTCAGGGCCAATTTGGGCCTTGCAGGTGTTTTGGACTCCAACTCCCACCATTCCTAACAGCCTCAGGCCCTTTCCTTTTCCCCCTCAGCTTAAGCGGCTGAGGGGGAAAAGGAAAGGGCCTGAGGCTGTTAGGAATGGTGGGAGTTGGAGTCCAAAACACCTGCAAGGCCCAAATTGGCCTATACTTGATATCAATAGTAACAACATTAAATAAGTAACAAAACCTGAAAAAGGAATACTATTCCTGGCTGGAAAGTGTTCTTTCCTCTTTATCTGTGCTGTCCTTACTTTGAAAGTCGTGGTTCTGCTCCAGAGACTCCATTTTTGTAATGGCTGCCAGGCTGCCACAAACTAGGCCTTCCCCTCCTCAGGTGTTTTGGACTCCAACTCCCAGAATGCTTCGCGCCTGGCCGAGGAAGCGCTGCCTTTCCCCTCTTTGGCCGCGAGGGGGCGCGCTGCCTGGAAACAGCCGGCCCGTGTTGCGCCTGCGCAGTAGTAGCTCTGCGACTGAGGCGGCGGTCGGATGCGGCGGCGGCGTCGGCGGCGGCTGAGGGGGACGGCGACGCGGGCGGGGGGGCGATGCAGCCGCCACAGCCGCCCCCCTACGAGTTCCTCGGCGAGGAGAACGGGCAGAAGTGGCGGGGGCTGCTCGTGCCGGCCCTCAGGAAGGTCAGTGCGGCCCTCGCTCTTGCCCCCTCCCCTCCCCGCCAGGCCCGCGCATGCGCACTCGCGGGCCTCCCTCGGCTCCCTCATTCCTCCCTCAGAGGCCACGCCCCCTCTCGGAAGCCACGCCCCCTTCCCCTCTCAGGCCATTCTGACCCTTACTCTCACGGGAGCCCCGCCCCTTTTGGAAACCACGCCCCCTCACCAAAGGCCACGCCTTTCTGGGGCTCTGCCAACATTGGGTTGCGCATTAGATTCGGGTAATACAGTCCTCTTAATGCTAAGCCAAAGGGGAAACTGTTTCAAGGCACACACACATATATATACATAAACACATGCACAGATACATGCACATATATACATATATGCATGCACACACAAATAAACACATGCACACATATACATAAACACATTCACACATAGATACACACATATATCCATGCACACACATATATATATATACACATGCATGCACAAATAAACCAATAAACACATACATAAACATGCACACATATGTACACACATATATGCATATACACATGCACACACATATATACACATACATACACACATATATATACACATAAACATATACACATGCATGCACAAATAGACATACGCACATACATAAACACATACACACATATGTACACACATATATACATGTACACATGCACGCACATCTACACACATATGTGTACACATACAAACATGTATAATTGCACACATATACATATAAACATGCATGCACAAATAAACAAACACATGTACATAAACACATGCAAACATGCAAACACATACACACATATACACATACATATACACATACACACATATATATACACATGTACATATACACATACACACATATACATAAACACATGCACACATACATAAACACATACATACACATATATATACACATATACATATACACATGCATACACAAATAAACATACATACACATAAACACACGGACACATACGTATACACATACATACACACACACATATATATATACACACACATATATATATATACACATGCATGCACAAATAAACATGCATATACATAAACACATGCACACATACATATACACATACATACACACATATATATATACATGAACACACACACACACACATATATATATATATATACACATATACATATACACATGCATGCACAAATAAACATACATATACATAAACACATGCACACATACATACCACCAAATGGCAATCTAAGCACCAAACATGCAATTTTGCCTATTGTAGAAGTCTCCTTTGGCAACGTCACATGCGTGCTTTACCCCAGATTATGACATAATTTAGATAATGTTGTCATATGAAGTCTTCTAAAATAGCAGTAATGAGTAGGGCTTCTGAGGAAGAGAGGGGGCTTATGGAGGGGACAGTCCCTTCCTATATCTCACATGATCACATCCATCTCCCTAAACTGCAGTGTCCAGACTGATTGCAAATGTTCTGTCTCCGTTGTGTTCGTAAACATGCAAGTTACTGCTTGCCAGTACTATGCACATGCTGCAATCAAACCATACCATTCTACATATCGGTTTAAGACCTCTGTTTTTGTACTTCCGTGAAATCGTGCTGCATGCCTGTTGCTGTCATTATTACCTCTTAGCAGACACTTCTGGAGGGAAAATAGAACATGCCTTTCCAAGTATTCTACACTCAGAAGTGTTAGTCTGTGTGTGTTTCCATAATTATTGTACATAATAATAATAATAATAATAATAATTTATCGTGTCATCAGCAACCAGACATTTGTATTACATTTTTAACAAAAAACAAACAAACAGACAAAACACAGAATTTGCAGGCTTGGTAGTGGATTAAATGTCCTTTGACCAGTATCTGGCCCCTTGGAGTTGCCGCAAGAAGGTCCTCCCTTGTGCATGTGGCAGGGCTCAGGTTGCATTGCAGCAGGTGGTCAGTGGTTTGCTCTTCTGCGCACTCGCATGTCGTGGATTCCACCCTGTAGCCCCCTTTCCTAAGGTTGGCTCTGCATCTCATGGTGCCAGAGCGCAGTCTGTTCAGCGGTTTCCAAGTCGCCCAGTCTTCTGTGTGCCCAGGGAGGAGTCTCTCCTTTGGTATCACCCATTGATTGAGGTTCTGGATTTGAGCCTGCCACTTTTGGACCCTCGTTTGCTGAGGTGTTCCAGCGAGTGTCTTTGTAGATCTTAGAAAACTATTTCTTCATTTAAGTCGTTGACATGCTGGCTGATACCCAAACAGGGGATGAGCTGCAGATGTCTCTGCCTTGGTCCTTTCACTATTGGTGCTACTTCTCGGCGGATGTCAGGTGGTGCAATACCGACTAGACAGTGTAATTTCTCCAGTGGTGTAGGGTGCAGGCACCCCATGATAATGCGGCATGTCTCATTAAGAACCACATCCACTGTTTTAGCGTGGTGAGATGTGTTCCACACTGGGCAAGCGTACTCACCAGCAGAGTAGTATAGCGCAAGGGCAGACGTCTTCACTGTGTCTGGTTGTGATCCCCAGGTTGTGCCAGTCAGCTTTCATATGATATTGTTTCTAGCACCCACTTTTTGCTTGATGTTCAGGCAGTGCTTCTTGTAGGTCAGAGCATGGTCCAGAGTGATGATGATGATAATAATAATAATAATAATCTTTATTTATACCCCGCTACCATCTCCGCAAGGGACTGGGTGCGGCTTACATGAGGTCGAGCCCACAACACATCAATAATAAAACAATAGCAAACAAACAATACAAAACAGTTAAAATACATCTCATAAACAAAAATAAAATAAAATATAAGCAGTACAGTAACACAACAAGCATTTAAAACCTATGGCTGGGCCAAATGTAAAATTAAAATTTTAAATTAAAAAAAATATATATATAATATTTATCTACCCTTGCTTGCTGGTATAGCCCCTCGCAGTTGTTTGTTTACTCATTCCATACAAATAATAATAATAATAATAATAATAATAATAATAATAATAATATTTATTTATACCCCGCCACCATCTCCCCAAAGGGGACTCAGGGCGGCTAACATGAGGCCAAGCCCAGTAGTGCATTACAACAGAATAAACCCAAAAACACAAAACAAACATCACAATAAAATAAATAAAACATAAGAATGCAATAAAACAGTACAAAATACAGTGAGAGATACATCACAATCACAGTGAGCGGGCCACACGAACAAGATAAAATGATAAAAACTCAGGATGATATAGAAATGAAACGGAAATATTTGTGAAGGAGAAACTCATTGGAAATGGATTACTCCAAATTCATGCTGTATTCATACACCTCTAAGCGCATTATTATCAAACCATGCCTTGGTGTGATTAAGAGATCATCCTATGCTAGGCCTGGGCAAACTTCAGCCCTCCAGGTGTTTTGGACTTCAACTCCCACAATTCCTAACAGCCTACCGGCTGTTAGGAATTGTGGGAGTTGAAGTCCAAAACACCTGGAGGGCTGAAGTTTGCCCATGGCTGTCCTATGTTCATAGTACTTATGCATTCTCTTGTACTCTTTGCCTTGCATGACACACCCCCTCCTCATGTTTGCCTGTGCTGTGTACACATAAACATCACTGTCGTTATGATGAGAATGATACGCCTCCATGCTCCCCCTCTGAAGCAGTTACGGCTGTATGTTGTAGGATAGGCAATGTATGGCTGCTCATTTGTTCTTGAACTCCCTCTGTGAGGGCTGTACTTACTTAGGCGATCCCTCGTAGTCTGAGGACGATGGTCCTCCAAGTGTAGTGTCCTGGCAGTGGGTCTATAGGTGACTGTGGAGCCCTATTCTCGATCTGCATCTTCTCCTGCAGTCAGGGCATTGGTTTCCAGGTGGAAGGCAGTCCCGGTCAGGTTGGCTTGACGCGCATTCCTCTTGGGACGTTTCTCTCTTTCACCCTCCATTCGTGCCTCTTCAAATTTTAGAGCACTGCTGGTCACAGCTGACCTCCAGCTGGAGCGCTCAAGGGCCAGGGCTTCCCAGTTCTCAGTGTCTATGCCAGAGATTTTAAGGTTGGCTTTGAGCCCATCTTTACATCTCTTTTCCTGTCCTCCAACATTCCGTTTTCCGTTCTTGAGTTCGGAGTAGAGCAACTGCTTTGGGAGACGGTGGTCGGGCATCTGGACAACGTGGCCGGTCCAGCGGAGGTGATGGCGGAGGACCATCGCTTCGATGCTGCTGGTCTTTGCTTCTTCCAGCACGCTGACATTTGTCCGCTTGTCTTCCCAAAAGATTTGCAGGATTTTCCGGAGGCAGCGCAGATGGAATCGTTCCAGGAGTTTCATGTGACGTCAGTATACAGTCCATGTTTCGCAGGCATACAGCAGGGTTGGGAGGACAATAGCTTTATAAACAAGCCCCTTGGTATCCCTACGGATGTCTCGGTCCTCAAACATTCTCTGCTTCAATGTATTGTCGAAGGCTTTCATGGCTGGAATCACTAGGTTCTTGTAGGTTTTTTCGGGCTATAGGGCCATGTTCTAGAGGCATTTCTCCTGACGTTTCGCCTGCATCTATGGCAAGCATCCTCAGAGGTAGTGAGGTCTGTTGGAAATAGGAATATGGGTTTATATATCTGTGGAATGACTGGGGTGGGGCAAAGAGCTCTCTGCTGAAGCTAGGTGTGAATGTTTCAGCTGACCACCTTCATTAGCATTTGAAGGCCTGGCTGAGCCTGGGAAAATGTTCTGTTGAGAGGTGTTAAGATGTGCCTGGTTGTTTCCTCTCTGCTGTTTTGCTGTTGTAATTTTAGAGTTTTTTAATACTGGTAGCCAGATTTTGTTCATTTTCATGGTCTCTTCCTTTCTGTTGAAATTGTCCACATGCTTGTCGATTTCAATGGCTTCTCTGTGTAGTCTGACATGGTGGTTGTGAGAGTGGTCCAGCATTTCTGTGTTCTCAAATAATATGCTGTGTCCAGGTTGGTTCATCAGGTGCTCTGCTATGGCTGACTTCTCTGGTTGAAGTAGTCTG